GAGGAAANGGCTGTCGGAAGCNGCGGCAGCGGCGGGACGAATCAGCCGTTACAGCCGCCGCCGCCGCCGCAGCCGCCGCTACCGCCTCCACAGGTGGGGGGAAGGGCTGGATACTCATTAACAGCCCCAGCGTACCGTACGGCATCTACGCCGCCGAATCTGCCGCCGGTCCCGCCGACGCCGGACTGCTCGCCGGCGTGTAGGAGGGCGGCGCTCCAGGCGGGGCCACTGCCGGAGCTGCCAGCAGCAACAGGACCTCGGGCGGCGCCGCCGCGACCGCCGCTACCGCCAGATGCGGCAGTGGCAGCGGCGGCGGCAAGTCTGTTTGTATCTCCGCCGACTGTTCTCCGTACATCGGAGGGTGGCGGCGGCGGGGGCGGCAGCGGCGCTGCCCTGCCGCCGCCGCCGCCAGGGGTACACGGGCTCCCTGGGACCTCGTGGATCCGGGTCGCTGGTGTCGTACAGGGCAAGGACGTTCCTGTCGGCGGCGGTGTGCGTGGCCGCCCGATTCGAGCAGCCTCGTTGCCGCTGCCGCTGCACGAGGACGTCGTTACGGAGGTTGCTGGAGCTGCTGCTGCCGCTGGCGGCGGCCAGGGCAGCGCCGCCGCTGGCGGCAGTGGCAACGGAGGTGGCGGCGGCAACGGCGGCTCGCACCGGAGCTCAGCGTCATTCTCCGTAATCGATAGCGACAGCGACTTGATGGCGCCGACGCTAGATAGTCCTCGTACGGCAGCAAGAAAGGAGCGTCAGGCGAAGAAGGCAGCTGCGGCGGCGGACGCCGCCGCGGCTGTCGCCGCCGCTGCGGCTGCCGCCTCTGCCGCAGCCGCAGCCAGCGACCCCTCAATCGGCTTGAAGCCGGCTTGTGGCGGATTTGGCGGCGCCGGCGGCAGCATCATCGCCGGCAGCGGCGGCGGCGGCGGCGGCGGCAGCTCAACAGCGCTGGTCACAACCCCGTTGGAGCCTCCGGAGGAGATTTGGATAGTGATGGAGTAAGTTGTCCTAATGCTGTAAAATTCCACTGCCGTTACTGCCGCACACACAGAGTTATGTATGACTCGTAAATGTGATCATCGCACGATGTCGGGCATTGCTGCCGTTCTCTTTGAATGCACACACAGGAATATTTCCCGTGCTGCAGCCCCCGCTCTTTGCTGCTTAAATCCGACCCGACCGCCCTGCCGCCGTAAAACCATTTTTACGGCCCTCATCTCACCACCCCCATCCCGCCCATCCTTTTGTACGACACGCGTCATCATCATCAGGTATTGCGACTTGGGCACGTTGCAGGTGCGAGTGGTTGGTGTCGTTGGTGATCCGTTGGCGGTTGATCCTTTTGGACCTGGGATCTGTTAGAAGCGATTTACATATTGATGAAGGAGCCGTTGGTCCGGGAGCCCGTCGGGGATTCAGAGGTTTAGGGATGGGCGGCGGGGGGGGGGTGGACGCGACAAGTAATTTCCTGCTGATCTCGTCCCCTTCTCCTCGTCCTGCTCGTCCTCTTCTCCTCGTCCTGCTCGTCCTCTTCTCCTCGTCCTGCTCGTCCTCTTCTCCTCGTCCTGCTCGTCCTCTGCTCATTCACGGTCATGATCCCTGCTCGTCTCCCCGCTCGTCCAATGTGATTGTACGAATAGGCCGCCCTGGAGCGCGGCCTTTTCGTCCTGCCGGCGGACCCCGTCAGCACCATCCACCCTAGCGGGGGCGTCTCCGCCGCCGCCGCCGCCGCCACCGCCGCCGCCACCATCGCCGCCTCCGCCGCCTCCGAGCGGGGCCGTCGCCCCTCCTCAATCGTCTTCTCTCATCACCACTTCCAACTGCCCAGTGTACAACAGCAACAGATAGGGGCAGGTAGCGGGCTTGGGGGACCTCTGGGGGCTGACGGCGGCGGCGGCGGCGGCGACGGCGGCGGCGGCGGTGCCGGCAGCAGCAGTGCAGACGGGCGGCTACGGCAGCAACAGCCGCCGTCACCGCGGGACGTGGATATGCGGGCCCTGGTGGCTACAGCTTTGGAGGTGGCGTCAGCCCTGCGGTACCTGCACTCTCTGGTCGGTTGCAGGTTTTAAGGGTTTTAGCGGTTTTTTAAGGGTTACAAGCTAGGGTATAGCTTGTTCGTAGTTTTTTATCTTAAATTATCTTAACTTCAAAACAGGACAATAACCAGCAGCAGCAAACCCCCGTTTGCATGCAGCCGCGGGAACCGGGTCCCGTTTGGGGCCGCCCGCGTTTTAGTGTGCTGTATATTTTGCTATATTTATAAACCCCCAGCGTGTGTGTACGGCACAACATGAGAAGAGGATGACCCACAACACCATGGTACTGCGTCATTGCGCCCTTCGTCATCATCAGGGTGTCGTACACGGAGACCTGACCAGCCACAACGTAATGCTGCTGTCCATGGATCGTACAAATCTGCCGTACGATCGGTCAAGATGCGGCTCCGCCATCCCGGCGAGCTCTCCGAGGAGCACCGCCGCCGCCGCCGCCGCCGCCGCCGCCGCCCCGACGATGGCTTCCGCCGTCGCAAACATCGCCGCGGGCGGTGGTAGCGACACGCTGCCGGCGGTGCGGCGTCAGCTCTCCCAAGCCGCGATCACAGCCATGGCGGCGGCAGCGGCGGCCGCATCGACGGCGCCGCCGCCGCGCCACGTCTGTACCACCATGCGGCGAACTAGCAGCTGTAGCAGCTACAGACCCTCCGCTCTGCCCAGCGGTCCGGGTCGTACCATCAGCGAGCTTAGCGAGTACAGCGGCACCGTGGCGGCGACGCTGCCGCCGCCGCCGCCGCCGCTGGGAACCTGCACTCCGTCGATCTCTCCGGCACCGTCCGTGGCGGGCACGGGGCCTCCATCCGCCGCCGCCAGCGCACTGGCGTCCGGACCGCCCCCCAGCGTCACACCCTCCGCCGCCTCGGGGGGGTTGTGTGCGGCGCCGCCAACACAAATCTGTCGAAACTGCGGACGCAGCTTTGTGGCCAAGGTTGGACATAGAACGCGGGTTCGGGGAGGAGATGGAAGAAAGAAACCCCTCTGACCAGATGGATCGAGTCAAATTAGTCCAATAGAAACCGGGTTAGGTGGTTGGTGGGTTGGTTGGTTGGGCTCAGCCGGATTCGACATATATACTAGGGTTTGTCACTACTGGTAAGGCGCGACCTTTGCCCCCGAGAGATCCCGGGATCGATTCCCATTAGGGTTCAAAAGTATTTCCGATGGTGGAAGGTACTATGTACCTAGTTGATGGACGGTGGTGACCTGCGAGCCGACCAGGAATGGAGTTGGGCCGCTGTCGACCCGGCAGATTCCCTTGGATGCCGGTGGTGGGTGCGGAACCTGAGTGTTCCACTGAGAAGTTGACTAGGGTGACTAGATTAGGGTGCCCCGAAATACCGGGAAAGGCAGGGTTTCGCGGGGTAGCTGCCCAGGGTGAAGATATACCCACCCCCCTGTTGCACACATCATACATATGCATTTAAAACTAGACGAGGCACTCTGAAGCTATGAGCCGCAAGAAGGGATGTGCTCGAACTTGGTAATGCACATTTTGCATTTTAATACACAGTGCAAAAGATCATCAGACACACCTGGTAAGATGCACTCATACATACAGCAATGTAGGTAGGCGGCTGGCAGAGGTTAAGGCCTGACTTCTGCTCCCAGTCGACCCAGTCGACCCGGGTTCAAATCCGCCTGCCGGCTCCTCGGGTGTTTGAGGAGTGATGAAATGGGAGGAGGCCCCCCATCATATGGACGGTGTAGGACGTGATAACATCAACTTGCGAGCTGACCAGGAACTAAGTTGATGCGCCGTTGATCCGCTAGATTTGGTTGGATGCTGGTGGTGAGTTGCCGAACCCAACGAATACATTCTGAAGTCGGATGGGGTGACGGATTAGGGTGCCCCTCTAGCAGGGGAGAGCAGGGACTGCCCCGGGAAAGGGGGCCGCTGGCGAAGTTAACCACCCTGTAACAACATACACACAGCAAACATACACACTTAACCTTTCTACTCTTACCAAGGTGCAACGTCCAACTGCTAACTGCTAACTGTCCTAACCACCCAGGTAGCGGATTTCGGCCTGAGCCGCTTGCTTCAAGCGCAATCCAAGATCCGAACCAGGTCCTTCGGGACGGTGAGTGGTTGGGAGTTGATGGTGGGGTAGTTGGGAGTTTTTAACACAAGTACAACAATAACTGTCCTTCCAGCAAACTGAAAACCCGAACGCCCCCAAAGCATTTCAAAAATGCACCGGAATTCCATTGGGCTGTCGTACACTTATACGGCTTCCAAACTACTTGCCTGCTTCCCCCTCCCTGCCCCCCCTCCCGCAGATCACCTTCATGCCGCCCGAGACGCTCGTGTCCGGCATTGTGAGCAAGGTAGGGGAGTAGGGTGGGGGCAGGCGGGTGGGCATGCGTAGATGGGCGGGTGTGGGGTGTGGGGTGTGGGGTGTGGGGTGTGGGGTGTGGGGTGTGGGGTGTGGGGTGTGGGGTGTGGGGTGTGGGGTGTGGGGTGTGGGGTGTGGGGTGTGGGGTGTGGGGTGTGGGGTGTGGGGTGTGGGGTGTGGGGTGTGGGGTGTGGGGTGTGGGGTGTGGGGTGTGGGGTGTGGGGTGTGGGGTGTGGGGTGTGGGGTGTGGGGTAGCACCCTCTTGAGAGGATTTCTTCCTCCTCAACCCCGTTTCCCTCTCCCTCCGACGACTATGTACTCTGAAATCCCCCCAACCGCCAACCGCTAACCACTCCCTCGCACGCACATGTGCCCAGGCTGCCGACGTGTACTCCTTCGGCGTGCTGCTGTGGCAGATGTATTCGGGACAGCGGCCCTGGTCCGGAATGAACACGGGACAGATCGTGTACAACGTGGGTATGAAAGCCATGCAGCTGCCTTTCGCCCCCGATGCGCACCCGGGGCTTATGGCGCTCAGCCGGGCGTGTACGGCAGCCGACCCGCAGCAGCGGCCAACCTTCCAAAAGGTGCAGGTACGCAAGGTACCGCCACCGTCTCAGGTTGGTTGGTGGTTGTATTTCTGTTTTGAGGTAAAAAACTAATTAGGGTTTGATTGGTGGGTGCCACACCCTCACCCCGCTACGCAGGAAGATCTGATCGCGATGGCTCTGGAGCTCGGACTGGAGCTGGAGAGCAGAAGGACGAGCAATCCACCTCTACAACCGTCACAACCGTCACAGCTACCCACCTCATCCGCAGGCACAGGAGCGCCAGGAGGTCCTAGCAGCGTGCCGATGGCTGTAGCTGGTGGCGCTGGCGGCGCTGGCGGTGATTAAAGAAGAGCAGTAGCAGCAGCAGCAGCAGCAGTAGCACTAGCAGTAGCGGCAGCATTGCAGCAGGCGGAGATCGGTGTGTGTGTTGTGTGTGTGCCGGGCTCCGGTGGTCAGCGGTCGCCAGCAGCAGCAGTTGGCTCGGCTGCTGGTCGCCCTGGCTTCGAGCTGCTGATAGTGACGGTGACGGTGACGGTGGCAGTGGCAGTGGGAGCGATGGATGTGCCCAGGGGAGGGATCAGCGCGTCCAAGAGGAAGCAAGAGGCTCAGCAGTACTTCGCGGAGATAAGGGGGAAAAGGGGGGAAAGGAAGGGCCAGCTGGCTGGCTGGCGCCGTGCGGGGGTTGCTGGCTGCTGCTGGCTGCTGCTGCTGCTGGTGGTGGTGTTGCTTTTGTTTCTGCAATCGCGTGCGGCTTGCGTTGCTGCCCCTGCCCTTGATGGTGTGCTGGTGCTGGTGCTGGTGCTGGGGACAGTATCCGTTGGCACATCCGCTGTGCATTGGGGGGGTCATGGTGCGAAGAAAGAGGGTCCTTCGGGTTTCGCCATTTTGAGACTTCATAAGAGGCAACACGTGCGCGCAGGAGCTGCTGTATACTGATGCACTGATGGGGGGGGCGGCTCTGTGCTGCCTGATTGCGGAGTTCGCCGCAGCTGTGAGGGGGTCAGATGTGAGTCCGTACGCATGCATGTACGAACGTGGATGCCGTGTACGGGCTTTGGGGTTGGACGAGACTGGAAAGTAATGATAATCCCCGCAGATAGACAGACAGATGGCTACTGACTCGTGATTGGTAGTGATAGGTACAGCTTTGCTGCTACAGCTGCAGTCAGCAACCTAGGTGGTTAATTATGAAGGGGGGGAAAGTAGGATGTAGAGCTCCGGTTAGTTGGTTTCAGTTTGGTTTCAGTTGAGCTGTGTGGATGGCGCGCGTGAGGAATGCCATAACGAAACGGCGAAAGGGTTCCGGAATAGTGGTGTGGGGGGGGGGGTTCGGGCGCCATCCTACTCTCCTTCCGCACATACACACACATACACACAGATATAGGAAGATGTACCCTGCCCCCTGCCAGCTGTTCAGTTCCATAGGGTTGCAGATTGCCATTTATAGGCTACGGACGGAGGAGGTTCTAGAACTGTGTAAGGCTGTTATTGTGGGGATCGATGAAGAAGAGCGGAAAGGCAGGGCGGCGGATGGGACTGTCCGTACACAAGAATCTCGTCTGAAGTGCGAGGTAGGATGGTGCTTATAGGCGGTGGCAGCCCTTGAGACGTCGGCTCGTATTGGGCGGTTTGCAGGTACGGGGAACGCACCCACGACCATCTAATACACACACAGAAGAATGTTGTCACAGAACAGGCATTAGGAACAGTTTAGGACATACATCCACACAACGATTTAACACAGATTCATGCGATAGGGTTTATTCCTGTCGATCGTGTAATACATGTACGGGTGAACGTAGTAAACACTGACAGCGGTACAGCTACCGGCGGCTCAGTCTTCGAATCAAAGTCATCGCCGTCATCGCCTTCCCTGGACGAAGACCCTGTGGCTGCAACTGCTGCTGCTGGATGTAATCAATGACCGCACCGACCAACTCAAAACGATGGCGTCCGAGGCCTAATGTCTTGCCGCAAGCAAGCAAGCAAGCAAGCAGATACGGGTATACCAGACAGCGAAGGATCGCCATGTTGAAAATGAAAAGGAAGCGGCAAAGGCCTTCTGCCCCTCCCGCCTTGCATGGGTAGGTTATCCACCAAGCCAGAGCCCCCATATGGCTACTGTGTGCCCCCTATTGTCACTAATGCTCCTGTTAGAAAACGAGCAGTCTCACACGAACACAACACGCAACGGTGGCCTATATCACTTGCACACCGTCGGACCCCTCCCCTCCCTCTCTACTCCCTCCTCCACCCCTCCATCCCCCCACCATCCATCCACGTGCGACAATCAAAACACGGAAGCATTATGATCATCGCCATGATCATCAAGGCACATATATGCAGACGCCACCGCCAGCTGCACAACCTTGCGCAGCACCAGCAGCAGCACCCGCTCTCCGGCATCAAAACACCGCTCCAGACGCCACCATCACAGCCCCAGGGTACCAGGGAGGACATCGAGAAGAAACTCAGAACAGGCACTGGCTCTGCTGCGCCTCTGTCAGGAAAAAAGCGCCTCCCTTTCCCGAGCGATACCACTCCGCACCCGCGTTCTTCTCCTGAGCCACTTGGTACGTCTGCAGCCCCTGGCTGTGGACCGCCAAATGCTCCTCAGCGCCGAGCGCCAACGGCGCTCCGCCAACACGTGCGGCACCGCCGGCGCCGCCTGCTGCCGCTGCCGCCGCCGCCGCCAGCGTCGCCGCCATGTGAGCTGACGACCAGTAGGCATCATCCAGCAGCAGCTCCGCCAGCGCGAACCGGCGCATACGGGCGGATGGCGCCATTGCCATGGAAAGCACGGGCTGCATGAGCATGTGGGAGGCTGTGAGCACCGCGGGCCGAGTGTCGTTGGTGACGGCGGAGGGCTGGGCGTCCGGTGGCAGCAGCGCTATTTCGGCGCCCATGCGCTTCAAGGTCTGTTTTTGTTGGGTTGAGTGTTGGATGGAGTCCGGCCGAGCGGGTTTGAATGTGGGTTCCGGGAGCAGCAGGAGCAGCAGCAACAACAGGAGAAAGGAAGTTAAACGATGTCTCTGGTATTATAACTTGTTAGAAGTGACGAACGACCCAGACGAGGAGGAGAAATAAGTTCACACATGCTGGTGTGCGAGAGTACTACCCTCTGATGAACCATGTGAACAGATAAACCTACAGACTACAGAACGCAGGATTGGGTGAGCAGCAGCAGCAGCAGCAGCAGCAGCACAACAAGGAAAGAATCGACAACAACAAAAAGCAACCTCCAGCAAGCGCGGTGCTGCCGCACCCAGCTCCACCCACCCCCACACACCGACACTTCCCCCCGCTCAGCTCCCGCTTGCCTTTTCCAGCTCGCCATACGCCTCCTGGCCCACGACTTGCGCGCTGGGCATCACCTCCTCCAGCTGCGCGCGCTGCCTGCAGTGCTCCCGTCGGAGCCGCATTTGCTGCATACATACATACATACACGGGCAGGGAGGACATGCACGCATTACACATTTATACATGCACGCATGCATACCTACCTACCTACCTATCTACCTACACTGCAATTTCGAGCCGCTGAGGGGCCCCATGGGCCCCATGGGCCAGGAAGGCCGATCAGAACGCAGCGGTCGATAGTTACGTGGGACAACACCACGACGTCTTCGCAACATAACGGCGCATTTTTTCATCACCTCGTTGGAGATTGATCATGCTGATGCATCCATCCATCCATCCATCCATCCATTCGTTCGTTTGTTTGTTGCGTTCAGTACCCACCATCAAGGGATCCTTGGCGGCCGCCACTGACTGCTGAGACCCGGACTGCAGCGGACCTCCTCCGCCACCCACGACCGCCATCGCCGCCGCGGAGCCGTAGGTCGCACCCACCGCCAACCCGCCTGCTCCATGGCCCCCTCCTCCGCCCCCTCCTCCGCCTGGTGCTGCTGCTCCCCCGCCCGGGAGCTGCTCCCCACCGCCACGCTGCGAACCCGGCAGCAACGACGGCCCTCCTCCTCCTCCTCCTCCCCCTCGCCGCGGCGGCCCACCACCCTCCAATCCGCCGCCTCCGGACATCATGATATCCGAGCCGGCCATTCCTCCCCCATCCGACAATCCCATAGGCCCTCCACCGCCGCCGCCGCCAAGCCCCATCATCCGCGCCTGCTGCTGCTGCTGCATCATGCCCATGCCGCCGCTTGCACCACTGGCGGGGCCCATATCCACGATAGGGGGCATCAGAAGAGGAGGCTGCGGGGATGGACCCCCCGGGCCCCCATGTCCTCGGCCGCTGTATGCCATATTGCCACCGCCACCGCCACCGCCGCCCTGGTGGTGGTGTTGCTGCTGGTGGTGGTGGTGGTGGTGTGGCGATATGCTCCCCCCGCCGTCCAGGTAGGTGTTCGCGGAGTCAGATGGAAAGGCGGAAGAGGTCATTTGAGAGCTCCCGACCAGCGGCGGCATGGGAGCTTGCGCGAGGGCGTGGGCTCTCCGGGCGGGATCCTCTGGCTGGTCGTCGTACACGGGCCGCCCGCCGCCACGACCTGAAGACAGCGTTGACATGAGAGGCAACAGCAGGAACAGCCTCCTATAACACAATAAACTCATAATCGTCATCATCATGCAGTAGCACTAGTGGTCCGCGTACATATCACCACAAATCCTGGATGACAAAAATACAAAATATCTGTTTAACGGGAGGGGAGGCGGCAGTACGATTTAGGGAAAAAAACAAAATAGAGTTACGGGCCCAGGGCCCAGGGCCCACGGCCAGGCACGACGTATTATTCACAAACGCGGAGCCGACCCTCCCCCGAAACGGAAAGGAAGCGAGGCCCCTATGGGTGCAGGCAGGCAGGCAGGCAGGCAAGCGATCAGGACCGCTGAGACGCGAGCGGCTATCGGACCGGCAGTTCTATTTACCCCTAGCAGCAGCAGGAGGAGGATGAGAGGAGGAGGAGGAGGACGAGAACAGCTAACCAGCCCCAATACACCGATATGCCCGTATTGAGGAGCGCGACTTCCCTCGCCGTCAGTCTGCCGCTGCCTCCCCACCCGCCACCACCACTTCGCGTTCAGTTCACAGCCCCACCTCGACTGCCTTCGAAACCGCCGCCGCCGCCACCTCCTCCTCCTCCCCCGCGGGCTGACACCATGGGTCCGTAAGGCGCCGGCCGAAAACCACCTCCGCCTCCACCGCCACTGTCCCCATGTTCCATACCCTGTGGTTTCAAACCCGTACCCATACCCACACCCATGCCGGCACTCCTCGCCCCCCCATCACCCCCTCCTGGACCACCGGACAGTGGCCCCCGGTCCTGGGCCTCCCGGGTTGATCCCAGCTGCGGCTGGTGGTGTCCGAATCCGAAACCGCCCTCATGCTGTTGTTGCTGTTGTTGCTGATGTTGCTGCTGCTGATGCCGTGGTGGTGGCGGCGGCGGCGGTGGCGGCTGGTGGTGGTGGTGAAGTGGGGGCATCATTGGGCCGCCGGGTGCGGGTGCAGGTCGGGTGATGTTGGGCATGATCATAGGCATAGGCATAGGCATAGGCATGGGCAAGGAGGAAGGCAAGCTACGCCCTGGTGATTCCAAGCCGCCGCCGCCGCCGCCGCCGCCGCCGCCGGGGGGTTCCAGTCCACGTCCGTCAGGAAAGGGGGCGATGTCTGGTGGCAGTGGCAGCGGCAGTGGCAGCGGTGGTGGTGGTGGTGGTGGCGATGGTGGTGAGCGCGAAGGCAAAAGGGAAATGGGGCAAGGGGCGTTGGTGGGGCGACATCCGCACATATCAGAAGTGCCGCAGCACCGGCAGCATCAGCCGCAAGCAGGTGCGACCAGTTGGGAACCGAGGGGGGGGCACTGGCTGGGGACATAGACTCCTTTCTGAACGGCGCCGAGAGAAGAAGGGGAAAGGGAAGGCAGCTAAGGCAGCTACGTTGTGTGTCCCCGGAACACATCATTCCCCGGGCCCCCGCCCGCCGGCCGGATGGTAAAAAACACACAGACCTGCCCCAACACGCACATGACGCACAACGCAAAACACATAAAACACACAATCCAGCAGCATTGAGATCCAGAGAGCAATCCATAACCGACCGACACCTCCCGCCGCCTCCTCCACCCCTCCCCCCTTTCCTCCCCTCCCCTCCCCTCCCCTCCCCCCAGCCAGCCAGCCAGCCAGTCCCAGCCACACCCTCAGTCTCACCCGGCATGTCAATCACTCGATCGCGGACGTCCGGGGGGTCCCGTTCCGGTGCCTTATCGCGATCACTTCGCCTGAAGCAGGGTTGCACAGTTGTAGCAGTGTGGTAGTAGCAGTGGTAGTTTAGAGGCGGGCCGGTGTGGGGACGTTCTGGGGAGTACTGGTGTCCTAACACGGGGTGCGGTGACGTGGACAGGTGCGACCGAATGCATGAATGGCGGCAAGGACAGACAGCGGGAGTCGATATGGGATGATGTGTACTGAACTACATACAGTTGGCAGGTGGCTGGCAGAAGATAAGGCCTGACTTCTGCTCCCGCGGAGTGTCCGGGTTCAAAACCGCCTGCCGGCTCCTCGGGTGTTTGAGGAGTGTTGAAATGGGAGGTGGCCCCCCATCTTATGGGCGGTGTAGGACGTGATAATATCAACTTGCGAGCTGACCAGGAACTAAGTCGAGGGGCCGTTGATCCGCTAGATTTGGTTGGATGCTGGTGATGAGTTGCTGAACCCAACGAATACATTCTGAAGTCGGATGGGGTGAATGGATTAGGGTGCATCTCTAGCAGCGGAGAGCAGGGAACTGCCTCCAAGGGAAAGGGGGCCGCTGGTGAAGCTATACCACCCTGTAGCCGCTGGTGAAGCTATACCACCCTGTAACAACATCATACAGTGATACAAGTTGAGGGAATTCCAAACAGACTGAACTGCATTACTGCCTAGATAGGGGTCATACATACATATATACATAAATGTGTTTTACAACGTGTTTTCGAGTTGCGTTACCCGACTCCAAAGTTGTAGTAACGCCCGCCCGTACGAGGACCCTGAGAAGGGCCCCAAGGGCCGAAGGCGAATATCGTCATGGCGTACATAACATGTATGTATATCCATACCTATACATCCATCCATACCTATCGCCACAGCTCTCACCTGCCGCCGTCACGGTCGCGGTCACGGTCGCGTCCCCGATCTCGATCTCGATCCCCCACCTGTACATAGAGAGGGGAAAGGAGGTGAGGGGGAGGGGGGAACAGAGGGGACATACGTTGCAATGCGAAGGTGAGCCCAATGCAATTAAGGGAGGATGTGCCACCACCAGCACCAGCTGCACCACCCCATCTGTCATACCAGACCACAGAGAGAGCGCCACTCGTGGGGGCTGTCAGGTAGGCAGGTGTGTGGATACGTAAGGGCGTATGTATGTATATGAAAGGCCTCCGAAGAACCCACTTTGTTCGTCTGTCTGTCTGTCTGTCTGTCCGTCCAGACGATATTCAGCCCGGGGGGCCCCGAGGTCCGCCAGTTCCGCGATCTGCCAGCACACCACCCACCCGTCCAGCCGCCACTCACCTCCTTGCCCCTATCTCCCCCTCCCCCACGGGGCCCCCGGTCGTCTCTCTCCTTCAACGCAGCAGGGCGGCAGGAGGGAGGGAGGGAGGGAGGGAGGGAGGCAGGAGGAAAAGAAGAACCCAAGCAAGTAAGTCATCCCTAGCGACGCAAAAGCGGCAAAGGAAAGGGAGGATCGAGGCTATGATGTTCAGGCCTGCTGCCGAAGGGTCCCCACCCCGACCCCACTCTGAGGGACTTGACATAAGCCCCACCACTTCGCGACGGAGGACCCACAAGCACAGTGACAAGGAACCCACTCGCGAATTCCCACGAGTCAGCACCCCCGGGGTATTACGGGTTTTCCTTAAGGTAGTGTATTCTAATTTCGGGAGCAACTCCTCGTCGCATGCACAGCGATCCGCTTTTCTGGTAGGGATACATACATACACCAGGGTTTGGAACTACTGGTAACGCGCGACCATTGCCCCCGGGAGATCCCGGGATCGATACCCATTAGGGTCAAAAGTCCTTCCGATGGTGGAAGGCATTGCGCCCCTAGTTGATGGACGGTGGTGACCTGGGATAAAGTTAACCTGCGAGCCGACCAGGAATGGAGTTGGGCCGCTGTCGACCCGGCAGATTCCATTGGATGCTGGTGGTGGGTGCGGAACCTGAGCGATCCACTGAGAAGTTGACTAGGGTGACTGGATGAGGGTGCCCCGAAATACCGGGGAAGGCAGGGTTTCGCAGGGTAGCTGCCATGGGCGAAGATACACCCCCCTGTTTCATACATCATACAGCCAAAGATACATACATACAGCCAAACACACAGGTGAACCGCTTGCCTCCACGGACAGTCGCATACAGTATTTCCATACGTATTTTCCATACACCCCTTCACCCCGACCCCTCTACAACCACGCACACCCACATACCTTGCTCTCGCGCTCCTTGTCGAAGCGGCCACCACCACCACCACCACCACCTCCTCGTTCTTCATAGTACTCATTGTGGCCTCGATCCCGTTGCTGCTGGGGCTGGGGCTGCTGGAGGGGCTGCTGCTGCTCCTTCTCCCCTTTTTGGTACTCCCGATGCTCTCCTCCTCCTCCTCCTCCTCCTCCCTTGCCATCCCCAGCCCCCCTCTGCTGCCGCTGCTGCTGCTGCTGCTGCTCCTTCTCCCCTCGCTCCTTGATGTCTCGCTGGTCCTTCTCCTTCTCCAACCCCTCTCGACGCGATGGGGGTGACGGGCCCCCACCGCCGTCCACATCCTGCTGTCTGACCTTCTCCCTCTCCTTCTCTCTTGCGGCCCCACCCCCCGCTCCCTTCTCCGACTTCCGGTCCTTGTGGTCGCTACCTCCTCTACCCCCCGGCCCCGCTGGAGGATTACTGCTCGCATCCCTCTCACCACCCCCCTTGTTGTCCGTCCCGGTCCCCCGGTCCCGCTGATTCCCCTCACGACCGCCACTGGTGCTGCTGGGGGCCGCTGCGGGCGGCGGCTGGGGCTGCTGCGGCTCCCGCTCACGTTCGCGGTCCCTGTCCCTGTCCCGGCCCCGTTGCTTCTCCTTCTCTCTGTCCCCGGTGCTTCTGGGAGCAGCAGAACCACCACCACCACCACCAGCGGCAGCAGCGGCCTGGGAGTCCTTGATATCCCCACGGGCCCCTCGCTCGGCGCGGCCCTCCCGCCTGCCAGGGATGACACACGCACACGCAATCACCCATAACCGCTCATGCACGGAGGAATACACAAACGTGTGTGTGTGGTGGGGGGGGGGGGGAGAGAGGGCAAAGGCCCACTGAAGGGCAAGAACTGGCACATCCAGCGGCTTCGCACACCTGGCATTACCACTGGACAATTCCTAAGGATCCCTAGGTTTTCGTGCGCGCAGCAAGCCTCTAACGAGCATATGTGCGGGATTGGTCCCAAGAGGCGGTATACCTTAATCCCATTCAACCCCCTGCATGTCTCTTGACTTAACCCTCCCCCCTTTCCCCAACACGCGCGCACACACACACAGAGGCACCCCTGCCATCTTCCCTTCCCTCCCTTCCCCGTTCCCCTCGCCACACACACCTGCCATCCTTGCCGTCCTTGCGCTCCCTCTCCTGGTGGACCTCTTCGCCCACCGACTTACCGTACCCGCCCTTCTCCAGGGGGGCGCCCCCCGTTCCCCCAGCAGACGGGGGAAGGGATTCCCTGCTGACAGCAGCCGCATCCACGTCCTTAGCCCCCTGCTGCTCTTGAGAGGCAGTGGCAGTGGTGGTGGCGGTAGCAGCAGCGGTGGAGGAGGGGTTGTTGTCGTCTGTTCGTACGGCGCGTGGCTCCCAGACGATGGCTGGGCGCTTGCGAGCTGTGGATTGTTAGTTTTATCATAAGCGAAGGGGCGCACGTGTGGGAAAAGGTGGGGTAGGGCGTACGGTGGGGTGAGGTGGGGTGGGGTGGGTAGTAGTGGGCGGGTGGGGTGGTGAAGCGCAGGAAAGGAGGAGGGTTTAGTGGCTTCGGGACAACGTTTGGCCGGATTGGCGTGAGCTGTGGTGGCATGGACCGGGAAGATTGTGGTATGTATGGATGAATGGACCGATTGACAAGATGGATTGGGGTAGGAAGGTGGGTGAGTGAGTGATGGGCTTTTGGAAAGAAAGCTCCCGGCGGCAGTGCAGGCGCACGTGATACCCGTTCCGCGTGCGGGCTCTGCAAAGAGTGAATCACAGGGCCTGGGTGGTGATAAGGGTTGAAGGGTGCCCAACTAGGGCGGTTCGAAGAGCTAGAACGGGGCCCCCCTCTTACGTCTCTCGACCTCCTTATCCGAGGTCTCCCCACGGCGCTTGCCAGAGGCTTCTGCATCCGACTTCCGCTCACGCTCTCGCTGGCGTGAATCATCCCTGCAGGTGCAGCCGTGTCATGTTTGCGGGCCTGATCTCAGTTGGCTTGGGCCGGGCAGCTTCCTCACCTTGCAGCAGGGCGCTCTTCCCCAGGGTTCTCTGTAAGGCAACACATCATTAAACTGAGTCATGCGCGCGGCGAAGGAGGTTACCAGGAGAGCCATTTTACAGTATCCGACGGCGAAACATACGACAAAGCTTCTGCACACAAACGGGCCATTGGTCACAAGTTTCATCCCATTCTTACCACGGGGACTGGAAAGTCGTTCGAACACGCTTGGCTTTTTTTCTTTGACAGCATCCTCTTTGACGTCCCCTTTTTCGCCCTTCCCACGCTTGTCTCCTTTCCCTCGACTTCGGCCCATACTTGAGATTATTTCTCGTATCAGGATTCGACCACGACAGCTTCTAGTGACATCAACTATCGAGTTGCGGAAGGCACCCCCGTAAGCCCAATTATAAACGATTTAATTGAAAATAGCAATTAAGCTTTATGAGTACACAATTAGTTTTTCTGATCTTTGAGGGTCGATTACCTACCAGGCTTGACAATATGTTCGGGCGTACCATATCACAGCATTCTTCATGTTTATTGCACGAGACATTCTTTGCCGCTTATGCCGCATAAAAGTATTCTGCCACGGCAATAAGTTGCCGACAATGAAGTTTTGTTAAGCTTTACTCCCAGCCTCCGTCAAAAGGAGTAGATCATGCTTGCATCCCCTCTTATGGCTTATTGAATCAGAATTTAGTTCGATAGATTTTAGTCCGAAGCGTTGCGATAAGTTTGCCTGTGTTCTTGAAATGGCGGACTTTCGCAAACTACTTCCTGGCAGCCTGGCCGACGCTGCAAACCAAGAAGCATTGACGGTGGAACAATGCGCAGGTAGGATCCATGGCCGCCAGTAGCCTATGCGGCATCTGCATTGGCAACACCGTGTAAGTTCTGCACCTTTTGACAAAAGCAGGAGCACGAGGCAGACCTCGCCGTGCAGCAGCGGCAGCTGCAGCTGACGTTCTCGTGGCGACGGCATTGGAGGAGGAAGAAGATGAAGACGACAGCTGTCCGGGCCCACGACGCGCATCTAAACGCCGAGACGTTAGGACCGCCCGCTCTAGCTACGCCAGCAGCTATTGTGTCCAGGCTTCAAACCTTGGCGTCAATCCACCTGCCAGTATGGAGGCTGTGGTCCCAACGCGCGACCCTTTCCCACAGGGGTTTCAACATCAGGTCAACGACCCCGGCCTGGCCCCAAGACACCCCAGCGGCGTGCTTGCCACCGCCGCGTCTGCAGCCGGGCTTCCTTTTCCCTCAGTCGCGACCGCAGCCGCAGCCATGCAAGCAGCCAACATGCAGGCAACCCTCGCCTATTACTACTCAGCCGCTGCAGTCAACATGCAAAACAGCTTGGCCCAAAGCTTCCAAGGTCTGCAGGGTTTGCATTCCGGACTCCAAACACTACCCTACCCCCTCTCCCAGAGCGGCGGCCCGCCGCAGATCCTGGCCGGGGGCGGGGCAACAGCGCCGTATGGCATGGCGGCTCCGCCGCCGCCGCCGCCGCACATCGGGGCGACCGCGATGCCAACGGCGACAGCCGCCACAGGCCTGCTGCCGCCGGACGGCGCCGCAGCCGCAGCCGCGGCGGCGGCGGCGGGCGCGCCGCCGCGGAAGAGGGGTCGTCAAGCGGGATCAGGTTCGGGCGCGTCCGCGGCTGCCAATGCCGGCCAAAAAGCGCATATTGTCCCTGGAAACGGCAGCAAATTCTTCCCGAAAGAATCGCAGGTCCGTTCCCTTTCAAAAACTTTATGTCGGTCGTGCAGGTCTAGCGGCCGGTGCTGCTGGCGAATGCTGTTGAGATGTGCACTACCGTGTTTAGATCCGTTCTAGTATATTTTAACCACCTTTTGTGTGCGAACAGGGAACATTGACATTGTCAAATTATTGCTCTGGAGTTGTGTCCGTACGTGCGTGCGTTTTCAGGCATGTCGCAGATCAGTTGGGTGCTTGGGGAGTAGTGATGCGGGTCTGGCTGGAAATGTGGGCAGGAGAAGCGCTGTGGTGTTTTGCAGTACTACTGGAGGATACGATATTGAAACTGGCATGAAACCGGCACGCAGGCGTATCTTGTAGCTCACACAAGCTCTTGCCCTTCTCAATTCGCGCATCCTGTGAAGACTCTGCGTGTGGGAATTCCAGTTCCGAAAAAGCGCATGCGCATATACAGCTTTTTGCCCAGAAGGCGCGACTTTATGGCGAGTGGGAAAAAATGCGCGCTTGTGCGCATTTAGATCTTGCCTAGAAAAACTTTGTTTTGCATTGCCGGGACAGCAAACTGGATTGTTAATCTTTATTACAATTATGCAATCCATGACATCCAGTTATTGTACGTCCTGTACGACGAAAGGCTCGAAAAGCCCGGTATCCGAGGCTACCTTAAGGCGGAGTCTTTCGCTCCTGCTTTGCCATTTATGACATCCGCCGCTTATGTGCTCCTAGTAGAGCACGCTTTTCTTCCTTGTTACTCGTGCATGTGTGTTTTCCCCGATGCCCCGTCCCTAATCAATTTTCCGTTCCCTGCACCACAAATATCTTTTTTGTTGAGTTGATTGCTCCATCGAATCTGTGCCCATTTCATTACCCGCCCAGGACAGTGATGGAATGTTTGTTTACCGCCCCTTTTCAAGTATCCGTCTATCTGTGATAATACAATCTGCTTCAATCGTCAGTGGTTCGTCTCCCACCCCCTTTCAGCAGCTTCACTCGTTCGTGGTTCGTCTCCCACCCCCCGCTTTCATCTCCCCCTTGACTTCCAGCAGTTTGTCTTAGTGACGTCGGCATTTGCTTGCTTTCCTTGACCTTTCATGCAATTTCCATCCGTCTATCTACACCCCTCGTCCCTCATATACCATCCCGGAGGACTTTCCCCTCCATCTTGATGAGTTTGAGTTGCTGCGTATTTATTTATGTGGGTATCGGCATTGGATTGGATTTGCAGGAGGAGGTGCGGCGGTTTCTGCTGCTGATGTTGGAGCCCAATCTGAAGCAGCGAGGGGAAGTGCCCTTGGTAAGTGGGCCTTCGAGGTGGAGAGAGGGGGGCTGAGTTGCGTCTGTGTGTTGTGGGTGTGTGGGTGTGTTGCGTGCCCATGGACGATGTCGCACCCGCGAACCACCATGCGCGTTACCGAGCGGGAGGCCGAGCGCTGTAAACCCTAAGAGACAACAACACGGGGGGCCCAAATACTCTGAATGACGTATCCGCCTATTGCCAATCTGTTTGTCTGTCTGTATATCGATCAATCTGTCTGTCTGTCTGTATATCTGTGTGTTGGAGGGATGTGCGGAGGAGAAATGCGTGACGTGCGTTACAGGAGGAGGGAGTTGGGAGGAGGGAGGAGAAGAAAGGGAGGGGAGCACTGCTACCCACTCGTCCAACCCCACCCCACCCCCAATCCATCACAAGTCATGGCCCAAAACCAAACGAAAACCCGAGCGGCGGTCTTTGGATTCGTCTGGACATGTGCTCATGTTCGGTGTGTGCGCCTTGGGGAGCCGTCGCGGGTTTCAGGAAGCCCTAACTGCTTAATAACGGTTTGTGGCCTTCAGTCGTAATTTGTCCTCCCAAGCAGTATATGCTTGATAAGCGAGCGAGCGCGTGTGTGTATGTGTGTTCTTAGCTTTCCAGCACCCACCTCCGTGGCTGGCTTGTGGTGTTTGGGGATGGATTGGGTTCTGGGTTGGTTTAGATTGGATTGAGCTGGCTCGCGTGCCTTCCCCCCTTCCCCTTGCCCCTTTGGTCCGCGTTTCTAATCTCCTTTCCTCCTATTCGGTTCGTAACCCATAGGACGTCAGCTGGTCTGTCCTCTGTCCGCTCCTTGCTGAGGAGGAAAGTAAACGTAGAGGGCTTGCTGCTGTTGATACTGCTGTTGATACTGCGACTGTTCCGTGGGCGACGAGACATCGCATCACAGCGGTCCGCCGGTGCCCCTCCGCGGTCCATGTTGCGGCCGCTTAGCTCCTCTCCCACCTAACTGCTTGCGGGTGCCCTTGCTGCTGCTGTCGCCATGTTGCTGTTGCGGCTGTTGCTGTTCGTGTTGACCTGCAGATTGACCGCCAGACGGCCTCCAAATTGGAAGCTCAGTTGCGGCAGCTGGTACCTGCGGAGCATGGGCTGGACTGGAGCGGTGAGGCTGGGGTGGTGGCTGGGGCGGGTGGGGGGTGGGAAGGGAGTTGGGCGGCGAGGGGGGTGGTGAGTGAGTGAGGACTCTCGACAGACGGCTTTTGGCACCCACCATGGTGCGGTGGTTGCGTTGCTCCTGATATACAACCCCCCCCCTTCGCCTCCTTGCTATGGTTCCTGCTGCTGCTGCTGCTGCTGCTACTAATACTAATACTAATACTAACACTACTGCTACTACTAATGGTACTGTTGCGCACTTCATCAGGTCCCATCGCCCGATTGGAGCAGGCCAGTTACCGGGTAGTGGAGGACTTGTTTGGGGATCTGCAGGTGGGCCAGGGCAGGGCAGGACAGGACAGGGCTGTCGGGGTGATGTGGAGGGAGGTGAGCACAGGTGCAGATGGTTTTCAAGGACAAGGTGAAATCCATTACCGATATCAAACTGCCGATGTGCAAGAAACACATCTGATAAGTTGTGTGCACGTATTTGTCTGTCTGTCTGTGTGTGTGTGTTTACATATGTACGTGTATATGTATGTACGTGTGCGGGTATGTGGGGAGGGTTGGCCGGTGTCGAGGGAGAGGGTGAATGCCGGAATGGGTTGTGAGAGTCCGTTGTTGTTGTTATTTTTGTTATGTGCTGCTCCACACGAACATGGATGGATGGAATGCAAGGTAATGTAGAATTTTTTGTGGAAAAGAAAGATTGTTGAACCACGAGCCACCATCGTAAACGTCGTCCTCGTCCTCGTCGTCGTCGTCGTGTACACACGCGCCCTTGGAGCCCTTAATGGTCCCTCATCACCTTTGGACGCCGGCAGTGCATCTCTTGAGTTTCTTGCACATGATTTCCCCTCACCTCCATGATGTGTTTTTGCCATCACCTTCACACACATACACTCGTACACACACGTACACGGCGCACGCAGGATCCCCTGGATGATGTAATCACAGCACAGATGCAGGCGCCGTCACGGTACGGCAGCGGCAACGGTATTAACGGCCTCAACAATGGTGGCGCCGCCGGGGCCCTCAGTCGCGCGGGCAGTAGCGGCGGCTTCGGAGATGCTGCGATGTACGGCATGACGGCAGCGGCGGCAGGAGCAGGAGGCGGAGGAGGAGGAGATGGCGGCGGCCCGGGTGATTCGGCCGCGCCCACTGCCGCCGCCTCCAACCCCCGGCGACTTCGGCAGCTGAACTCCATGAAGCAAACCTTTCTATCTGGTAGGGCTGAGGATTTTAAACGGGGTGGAAGCAGATGCCGAGGGAAGGTTTAAGAGAAAGAGGAAAAAGAAGTGTGAGAGATACCCTAAGTAAACCTTGAGAGCAAACCTTGAAAGCAAAAACCCTTTTATCAGACGGGCCCGGGGACAGCTATAAGGAAAATACTCCGTCTTTGGTTTGTATCCCCGATTATGGCCGTGTGTCGGAAAACTTCTTGCAGTATCTGTCTAATCCTGGAGTATATCCGTCTGTATGTAGTGGTATCTGCTTCACTTCGTCCTTGGTTCGCCTCCCTTCCGTCCCCCCGTCCGTCCGTCTGTCCGTCCGTCCGCGAGTGCAGACCTACATGAGGCCATAGACGAGCTGGTGCGGCGACGTGTGGATGCGGACAAGCAGGTTAGTCCGGGGGAGGGAAGGGGGGATGGAGGGGTGTGTGTGTATGTGTATGTGTGTCCGGGGGGGGAAAGGAAGGAGTTGACTGGTTAGGATGCAGATAAAGGCGGGGGGGGGAAGGTGTGTTTGGGTTGTGTGACCTCTTCCTCCACCATCACCCCCCTTTTCGAGTATCCGCACTCTGTCTCTGGTACCTGCTTCAATCGTCAGTGGTTCGTCTTAACCCCCCTACCCTACCCCCCCTTTCGGTCAGTTCTACGTTTGATACACTCTTGTCCTGGCAGCAGCTTCAATCGTGTGTGGTTCGTCTTCACCCCCCTCCCCTCCCCCACGAATCAGGCTGCTGCCAAGGAGTACGCGGACCGCATGGCGGACATCCTGGCGGGCCTCCCACCCGAGCTCGGGAGCATACCAGAAAATGTACCGGGAGCCGTACTGCCTGCGGCTGTACTGCACAACAAGGAGCCGTACTTTTCGGTTTCGGAGTGGCGGAAAGTGCCATTCCCACCTAGGTGAGGCTTGGATCTGGGTATTGGAAAGAATTGGAGGGCGAGGTTCCGCCAAGGAGGTGGTGGTGGTGGCGGTGGTTGGAAGGGCGGGATAAAATCTGTTAAAGAAATGGTGAGGGGCAGGAAGATGGGGGGGGAGCAGTAGGGGGTGGGGGGGTAAAGTACGGGTTTCGGAGGCTTTAGGAGTGGGGATTAGCTCTCCTCATCCCCCCCCCCCAATCGTGTTTGTGGCACTCCCTCTTTGACGAGATGACACTTGCCGTTCCGGTGGCATTACCAGCACCCATATAGGTATCAGCATCGGTATCAATATTGAAGCACAGGTCGAGAGGGCTTTGGAGTTCCAACAGACGTGGATTTGCTCGTAGCAGCCACTACGGGCAGGGCAGGGCTGGTTGGTTGGTATTTTTTTTGCTTGTGTTTGCGTGTTGTGACTCCGTCCTCCTCCACCTCCTCCGTTGGTACCGCCGGGAAATGATAGCGCATGAAGGCCGCTCCTGAACCTCTGATCGGAGAACACGGTCGGGGAATCTGCGATTTCCTTCTTGCGTGCCTTATAAACACATACATACATGCATACGCATGTATATACATACATACATACATACATACATACATACATACATACATACATACATACACACATACACACATACACACATGTGGCACAGCCATATGTATCGCCTGAATAGGCATTTCCCTCATCGCGGCTCAGATGAAAATAAAAATAAAAACACACACGCGCAGTTGGTAATGTTGCATCTTGGAGTTTGAAATGAATCCCACACCGCCCCCACTGGCCCTCAGCACTTGTAATTGCGCTCAGCAACCTTCCCATCTCCCACCCGCGCTTTTGCCCTTTTTTCGCTCTGCTTCCCAGGCAATACGAGACCTTGACGTCGTACGCCATCCGCAGTACGATTCCTTCGGAGCGTGCCGTACTGGCGTACAAGCTGCAGACGAAGCGGCCCGACGGCGCTGCGGAGCACTTCACTTTGGAGCACAGCAAGGAACTCGGTCTGGAGGAGTGGTGCGTGTGTATGTATGTACGTGCGTATGTATGTATGTATGTATGTATGTATGTATGTAATTGATTTATATATGCGGCCAGGGACCGGAAAAAGAGGCGTCAGCAAATGTATGTTGGTGTGTTTTGGTATGTTTGCTGGATGTGCGTGTGCGTGTCTGGAATGAATGAATGTATGTATGTATGTATGAACGTGCATATGCCTGCGCGCCTGTGTGTGTAATTTCAGGTATATTCAGTGGATTGCTTAGTTGGTTTCGCTCTTGTGGGCAATCGCTCCAGGCCACCACACCCCGGGGGCCTGCAGCTGGGTTCTCTCTCTCTCTCTCTCTCTTTGGCGGTTCGGATCGGTGATGTCTTCCTGAGTTGCCGTACATATTGCTGAGGTGACATTAAGGACATTAATAAATGGCTCCTCCTCTCCACCTTCCCTTCCCAGCAAGCACAAGGAGTCCGAGCTGGCGGCTGCTGTCCGGGCCCGCCGCGTGCTGGTGATGGGGCAGCACGTCAAGGAGGTCGACTGCTGGGGAATGGACTGCTACACACGGAGGAATATATTCGACGGTACGACAGTGTTTTGGGGGTAGGGTGTATATGCATGTATGTATATGTAGATATGTTCTTGTTATTGCGGAGGATTATCAAGTTCATTTATATATATTGTATGTATTATTATTTATATATTGAATTGAATTGAATTGTTACAGAGTGGGAGGCTTATTTATATATATATATATAACATACATAGCCTCGCAACCCCGTCTACATGTGTCGGGGAGGGGGAGAACACACGTAGATGCAAAACGCGGGTCTCCATGTCCCCTCAACGTATGATGGGGCAAGGAGGGGAGTAGGGGGGAAGACTTTAACCGCGAGCGAGTGAAGGGGTGGGGAAGGGAGGGGGAGAGGTGGGAGGAAGGAAAGGGGTATGGAGGGTTGGCTCTGGGTCTGTGTGTGTGTGTGCGTGTGTGGGTGGGTTGGGGCGGGGCAGGTTTGAATGGAAGAATTGAACATGTCTTCTCCAGCTACTACCACCAGGGCAGTCATTTGGACGTGCCACTGTTGTTGGATGTCGTACTCTGTCGTACTGCGATATTGGTAACGTGGGTTCGTCCACGCCCGCCGGGGTCGCTCCGTATTTTGTGGTTCTTAACGCGCGTGTACGGCTTGTGTGTGTGTGTGTATGGGTCGGGATAGCTTTTGCGGTCTTTTTAATCCCCTACCTCCCTTCCCCCCATACACACACATTCTCCCCCCCGGTCACCCCCCTCGGTCACTTCCATGTGATCCCAACCCCTCCCCGTCCTTCTAACTTTCCAGCGGTCCGAGAGAGCGGCGCTTTCAAGCACTGCCGTACTGGTAGCGGCGGCGTCACGACCACCACCACGACCACCCCTGCCACCGCCAGCCCCGAGCCCGATGATCCGGATATGGCGGATACAGCTGCGGGGGCACGAGCCGGCGGCGGCGGCGGTAGTCGGCCGCCCTCTAACGGCTCAAGCCATGGCGTCAGCGCTGCAGGCGCCGCAGTAACAGTTGGTGGAGGCGGCGGCGGCGGCGGCGGCGGCCTGGCGAACGGGGCGGCGGCGGCGGCATCGCACAAGCTGAACGGCGGGGAATTTGGAGGGGGGTTTGGTGGGGGTTTTGCGGGCGCGGCGGCCGGCCCTCTTAAGAAGGAGGAGGTGGCGGAGGTGATGGTGGGTCCCGGTCTCGGACAGGTGACGGAGTCCACCTTGAACGATGCCGCCATCGCGGCGGCGCTGGCGGCGGAGGACGCCGAGGCTAGCGGCGGCGGCAGGGGCAGTACGGCGGGGAAGGCGCGTGGACGCGGCGGGCCGAGGCGGCGTGCGGCAGTGGCGGCGGGGGAGAAGTTGGCGGGCGGGGTGTGTGGGGAGGGCGAAGGAGGTGCAGCAGGGGCCCAGGTGGCGTTGCCGCCGCCGCCACCACCGTGCGACCAGGGGGAGGCGGAGGCGATCAACGATTGGATCGACCGCCACGTGTTGTGTACGGCGATTGCCAAGGTAGGTACGACGGGCGCATACTGCACCCGAGTGGGGGGCTCGGGTAGGGGTGCAGGTGGCCGAAATGTTTTGGGTTCCGACTTCACTCTAAAAGAGTGAAGCCTGTTTGCTACCTTCCTCTCGACCCTCCTCCGGGGACTTAGAAATTATTTTGACCGACCTCCCCCAGCGCACCAGCAGGCGTTGCCGTTGGGTGAAGTTGCTTCGAACCTCCGCTCCAAAACCCCACCCAAGGCCCCCTGGGTCGCACTCCAGGCATCGCCAACCAACCAACTAACAACTAATTAATAACTCACCAACTGCTTTCCACATGCCCCAAATTTTCCCAACTTCCCCCATGCGTCCCCCACGCGTCCTTAAATGGAAGTTTGGATGTTTCCAATTTGGATTTGGATTTCCCCCTCCCTTCCCCCAAGGGACACCTCCATTCCCTTCAATAACCACCCCATTTCGTCACCCCATTTCGTCACGCCGCCGTACAGGGCCCCGACGGTTGGAACCTGTTGCGGGTTTTGGAGGCCGTACAGGCGGGAGCTCGGGAGCGGGGGGACAAACCCTGCAGCAAGGCAGCCAGCGCTGTCATGGCCCGCCTTAAGCAGGTAGGAGGGAGACGGGGCGGGGAGAAGGGGGCGAAAGGAAAATTGGGAAGGGGGAAGTTGTGTGAGAGGTACGCGCGAGCCGCACATGCGAGTACGGCGAAAAAATACCTCCTTCCGGCTCCTCCTCGATTTTGTTGACTTCTATGGACGGTGCCGTACATGGCGCCTGTGTCGTGCCCTTCCGCCCCCCTTTCCGCTCACCCCGTTTCCCCCCCGCCGCTCTCGCCTCCCCGGCTCCCTTCGTGACGCTCTTCCCAGCACGCACCGTGCTCTTTCCTGCCCCTACTCGCAATCGGTGTTATGGGCACCATTTGGGGTGTTATTTGCTACCACGTTTTGCTACTAACCCCCTCCCCAGCTGCCGGGCCACCAACCCACTTCCTCGCATATGTTTTCCCCCCCATACCCCCCATACCCCCCATACCCTCCATACCCCCTACACGCCCCACACCCCTCACACCCAGGTACATGACGCCCCAAATGTTGGTGGTGGTAACGTTCACAGGAAAGCAGTTGCGTCTCCTGGCTTTGGACTCCAGCACGTACATATATACATACATATGCTTACCCACATCCGGCCCCACCCCTTTTCCACCCCGTCTTGACCTTGCACCATGTATTTCCGCCCCTCCTTCCACCACTTATCCGGGCCCGCCCCGCCCCCGCCCCAGATCGGTTGGGCTTACTTCCGTCTTCACCCCAAGGGTCGCGGGGTGGTGTGTCAGGTGCCGGAGGGGCTGCCCGCCTTTTCCTTCGTGGAGGAGTACCTGGGCGAGCTGCACAG